CTCACCCTGGCTGATGGAGCTAAGAAGAGTAGACACTTCCTCGAAGTAGCACAGGGGTCCCATCCAGGAGTTCACGAAGGAAAGCAACGTGCCTCCAACGTGAACCTTGAGTTGGAGCAGCTGCCTGCACATGCTCCTTCACTCTCATCCTTCACCCGCAAGATCTGCGGCTGTAAGAGAGGCGCCAACAAGACAGCTGTTCCACCAGAACCGGATGCACGGTGACTCAGGAAGACCCTTCCCTGCCACTCCGAGAGCCGTGTAGTTTTGTCTCCTCTGAAGGAATGGGTTTCTTAGCAGGAAGCTCACTGCGTACTCCACCCAGGAGCCAGCGGATACAAAATCTGTGATGCTGGCTCTTTCCCGCTGCCATTGATGTTGAAGCTAGCTATGGATGTCTTTGTGGCTGCAGTATGTGCCACCACTACCAGTGAAACTCGACTCACTGAGGGGCTCTGTGAGGAAACTTTGGCACCGCTGCCTCACATTCTCGGTCCACTCCCGGGGGTTACTAATTGCTGCCTCCGGGCTGGCGTGACTCGAAGCGGTAGAGAACACCCACTGGTCCGTAGCTAACTGGACTCTTGTCCTGGCAACCAAGCATCAGACACAAACAATCCTGGACTCCCCCAGACAGGGGATGAGGCATCTTTGTCCATGACCACCATGTCTCTTTCTCTCTCTACCTCGTCTGACTCTGTGGGACTCCTCCAGGCCCCAGACCCAGCCCCCTGTGCTGAGTGCGAGGGGTGATCCGGGGTCACCAGTTTGACCCCAACTGCCCCCCCCTCCAATCCTGGACCTCACCTCCAGGGTCAACAGCAGGAGGACCCTTTTCAGGGACCTCCGAGTCTTCAATAATACCAGACCGCTGTTAAAACGTCGAACAAAACCTTGGGCCCACTGGATGCCAGAGGTTCGGAAATCTGCTCCGCCTCCCAAGGCCAGGCCGCCCCCTCTGTGTCTAAAGCCGGTAGAGACATGGCATTTCACCCAGAGGTGCCTCACCTCCTTCCCGGGTGTGACACCACCACCGTACACCGTTCGCTGAACCAGAGCAGCCTGCACGCGTCTCCCTCATGCTCAACTGTAAACATACTGTCCTCCCAGGCCGGACAGATCAAGGGGTAAACGTGCCTCGGTGTTTGCCTCTTTCAGACCGAGTAGTAGCGGTGCTCTGCCCATCCTCGCCTCCCCGAGCTCAGATGGAACAAAGGCTGGGGAGGTTTGACAAAATGACCATCTGGTCTCCATCCACATGGATGAGGACAACCACCAGTTCAATTGGGACAACACCAGGATCCTGGGACAGGCCAAGCAGAGATAAGCACGGGAATTCCTAGAGGCCTGGTTCTCCACTAAGAAAGCCAACAAACACATAGAGCTAGACCCTATGTACACTCCATTGCGAAGGAAAACCAGAAGCGAGGTAATCCAGCTCAACTGGACCCCAGGGTTTAAATAAGAGGAGGAAAAAACACAATGGCACTTCATCGGAGGCTGCACTGATGCAGGGTAATGAAACGTCTGTGGAACAACGAACCAGCTCGGCAAGCCAACCAACGACAGACGTCCACAACCCGAGCTACAAATCTGCTCAAAAAAAACCTTAGTTACTTTCGAAGGAACTGCCCGAGCTTTTCAGTTGGATGAGTTAAAGGACGACGAGGCACCTTGGAAGGATTGTGACCACCCTGGCCCCCTGTACAGGGTCCCCCAGTTACAATTGCTTACCCAACCAGCACCACCAGCACCCCTCGCACAAATAGTGGGAAAGGAATGGTAAGAAGTCTCGTTAGGCCTCCTCACCAGCCAGTGCTGTCCCTTAGGCAGACATATCCCGACCTGCTGCCCAACCCACAGGTCCCACACAACAGCGCCCCCTCCTGTTGCCCAAAGGCAGCAGTCACTGGCAGTAAATGATGATGGTATGGGTCACATTCAGGAAGCAGCAGCATGGAAAGGGCCTAGGCTTCAAACAGTTCCAGGCTCCAGACTACAAACCCTCACAGGCAAGAGCCTAGGACCCAAGCTGTTAATGTCCAGGCCCGAAGAATATGCCAGAGCCTGGGGGGAGGGGGGTTGCTTTATGGCTTTACTGAAGCACCTTCTACATGTAGATATAGATGGGCCAGAAAGTGGCTCCGGTCACCGGATTGCTCTCACATCTGAATCTTCTTAAAGAATCTCTTCTGAATCCGAGATGGTCGAGGTGGTGGAAGAGGAATCAAGTCATTAGCAAATGAAATTACTTTAGTTCTTATATAGGTGAATGTAAAAGAGAAGGTCACCTGTATCATTGAGAATACAGCTACACTGTTTGAAAGGCATGTAGCAGTAACGGCAGGCCAGGAAAACCCTATGGTGGGGTGAAACCTGTCTTCAGTATTGCAGATGAGGAGGAGTATGATATATATGAAATTGACAGCCCCTCTTTGTTCGATGATCAGAAGGAGGTGGTGAATATATTGGTGAAAGGACCTGACATTTAACAGCTATCTCCCGTACTGAAATGAAAGAAACAGGACCGACGTGACCAACTCACCTTCTGCTAATAGCAGCTCACATGTGCTGTTTATGAGAAATAGTATCATATAAAATCTCTGCTTATATTTAACCACTGCAGGCCTGACTTCAATGATGAACATTACTTCCAACAGAAAAAGCACCCAAACCCAATTACGTTTAAATTTAGAAACAATAATGCCTCAAAAGTAGACATCCTGGTTGTGGAAAGTTATTTACTGTCAAATACAGAAGACACTACTGAAGTGGATTGATCAAATTCTTAATGCACAGAAAGTTTATTGAACAAAATAAAAACCTTCAGCTGTTGCTTTCAAGGGCTCAAGAGACTGAGAACTCAGGAGATAATGGATATTTCTCTTTGGACGATAACCTACCAGAAATTGTGCTTCTAGCAGGACCATCTGAGGTTTATTGGTGTTCCATTAAGTTCAGTTATTCTGTGCACGAACAAATAGTGTTGGCGATGATTGAAGTATTTACCAAGCATCAGCACTGGCTTTACGTGGTTTATTTATCTCTTTGGGATGCATCGGGTGAGGCTTGCATAGTTAGACCATAATGGCTGCTTCAATGACGCATGCCTCAGGTACCATGATGGGCAGTTAAATTGCAACCATCAGAGAAGTATCCTTGATGCTGTGAAATTTTAAATCTGAGGTAGTTATTTCTTGTTAAGGAAAGGTATTAAAGGATATGAGCCAAAGGCGGGTATGTGGAGTTAGGTCATATATCAGTTAAGATTTCATTGAATGGTAGAAGAGGCTCAATGGGCTGAATGATCTAATCCTGTTCCTGCCTTCCTAACAGCTTGCACAGGAGGGAGTTTTTTTTTAAATTCATTTTGTGGGATGTGGGCTTTGCTGGCTGGCCAGCATTTCTTGCCCATTCCTAGTTGCCCTTGAGAAGGTGGTGATGAGCTGCCTTCTTGAACCGCTGCATTCCTCCTGCTGTGGGTTGACCCACAAGGCTATTAGGGAGGGAATTCCAGAATTTTGACCCAGCGACAGTGGAGGAACGGTGATATATTTCCAAGTCAGGATGGTGAGTGACTTGGAGGGGAACTTGGAGGTGGTGGTGTTCAAACATTGTGACAAGCAAAGAACGAAAGATGGCATATCGTATTTGGCCATCTTCAAGCGTGTGGATGAGGAGATACTGGGAGACATACTGGATTGAATGTTTCTTCTGCAAGGTTTTGAACTGAGTCCTTGCACATCTAAAAGGATTGTAATAGCCATTGTATTACAGAAAGGTTATATGCAGGCTGTCCACCTTACACACAATAAATATCTGTGCAATACAATTCAGTTGATAATCAGAACTAGGGTGGAGAGAAATTCAACAAAACTCCTTACCACAGCTAACTGGAAATGTCTTCTTGCTCTCCACAACAGCAATTGTTGCTGAGCAGCAGTAAAATAACAAATTCCATACACTTTTAACAACAAGCCTTGCCTGTGCAATCAGGGAAGTCCATTGTTTCTGCCCAGTTTTGTACTGGGGAACCTTTCAGATGCGGCACAAATTACATAACCATGACACTGCAGAAATACAGACTGGTAGCTTCCTAGAATGTAAAACTGCTTCAGCCACTCAACACTCTATCATTTTAATGGAAATATGTTGGTTTTGGTCAGGATAATTGGTAGATTTGTAGAAAAAAAAGCTAATGTAGCAACCTGAAATAAACCAACGTTGCACACAGTACGTGAACATTCCACATTCCAGGCCAACTTTTTTTGTTTCAGTTTAAAGTTCGAATTAGCTTCAATGTTCTCCTGTCTGTGACTCGTGATTGAGCTCCTTTTCGAGATATTTTCAATTTCCTTTTGACAGACTTTCAGTCCAAATACCAGAAGATTCGAGGGGTTTCGTAGTCAGGCCATTTCATTTCATATACAAAGACTTCTATTGGTTTCAACTTGGTGTGGTAGCTTGCTCTGAGGTCAAAACTGCCCACGTGCTCATCATACGTATGCCCAAGGTTGTATTTCATTCTGCCGAATCAATAATGATATCACTCGCTTTTTCACTCGATATCTGCAACTACTTAAAATAAAATCAGCCAGCAACAGCTAAAATGTCCTCTGCTGAAGATTTGGACATTACTCATGATCAAAACCTCATGACATGTTAGACATTGTGGGTTGATGAGCTTATTTTGAGACATGCCATAGAGTGAACGTAACAAATCTTTCAGACACCACAAGTGGTTAGCATTTAGAAAACGAAATGACTGACGCGAATTTACCTCCAATTATGAAACTCACATCATCAGTTGACTTCAGCTGCAAGTGGAGAGGAGCTCTCGTGCCCAAACAATGTGATTGATAAACTCTTAGAACAAGTGTGGTAGTGGTGAGATTTTTACTCACACCTCCAAGGACACTGGTGCTTACAAACAAACACTCTAGGTAAGTGCATCTGCTGGTATTGCCACTTCAATAAAACCTTTATGTCTCTTGCTGTAGACTAAATAAGAAAGATTGTGTTTCACTGGACTGAAGACTGTCAGTTGAGATGTTGGGACCTTTGATGGAAGCTGATATCTATCATCCATGTGGCACTTCTGGCTGAAGATTGCTTCGAATTGCTCCAGCTTTATCGTTCGCTCTGACATGCTGGGATCCCAAACATTGAAGTTCAGGATAAAACAAAGGAATAATCAGTGCTGAAAATCTGAGACAAAAACAGAGATTTATGGAAAATGCACCACATCCAGCAGCAATGTGGAGAGACAGCAGAGTTAACCCTTCAAGTCCAGTAATCTTTCTTCAGAACTTTTTCAGATACTTTGAGCTTATCTAGCAATTTATGTTGTTGAAGATGGGGATATTGTGGAGCTTCATCTTCTACCAGTTTGTTTAATTGTCTACTACTATTCACAATTGGATATGGCAGGACCTCAGAGCTTAGATCTGATCCTTTGATTGCAGGATTATTTAACTTTGTCTTTCATTCGCTGCTTTTGTTCTTTGGCATGCAGATAGTTTTTCTTTGTAGCTTCACCTCATTTTACACCTCTTTCTTAGCTTTGCCTTGAATAGACCCCTATGCTCTTCTTTGAACCTTGCCTCGATGTGAATGGTAGAGTGGAGATATGCCAGGTAACAATGTTGCAGATAACATTGGAGTATGGTTCTGTTGCTGCTGATACCAATCCTGAGTTACTCAATCTGTTCAAAATCTATCTCATTTAGCACACCTCCAGAAGATCAGTACTAGAAAGGAAAGAGACAGTCAACTCCAATACAGTCTTCTAACCTTGGAATTTGGCATGACTCCTTCCTGGCAACAGCAGGAATCACACAAGTTGGTTATTAAGTAATCGCTTGGTTTTTCAGTTTATTACCATGTCAAACCTCATGAAAACAAAAATATTTTATTCCATCCAATAAAATCCAGCAGGCAGCAGATGCACCAATCTTATTGCTAAATTAACTTGTGAAAAATAACCATCTAATTAACTCCCTGGGACCTGGCATTAGGTATAATTATCACCAATCTTCAGTGAATTACACAATGTGCTCAGAGCTTCTGGCAGAAATGCACGGAATACCAAAGGGTCTACTGTTTTCCATTTACTATCCCATCATTGCAGTTATCGGGATTCCAGGTTAAGTTTTGTACTTACTTAGTGACTATGTCAATCATCTCTGAACTGCATCATTTGTACCATTTTAACAACATCTCCTTTTCCCTCTCATGATGTGTATTATCTTTCTTGACAGTATATTTTCTTTGCTCTAACTCATCTAAACTATCCTCTTACACAAAATCATTTCCCACCTTAATACTATCAATTCTTCATTTAGATGAAAGAATCTACCAAATGGTGACAATTTCTCAGTATTAGTAGCACAATTTTCTTCTTGAGTATTGTTACATAACCACTTTAACAGGGAATATTTTTTCTTATGCTATTATAATTTCACCCCTTTTGAGTTGTACTATCTTGTGACACTGCTGTGCCATTGTGTTATTTATATTTTCTTCATTTATGACTAACTACTCAACATGTATATAAGGTGTGATTTTTATTCTCACTGTTTTTGTATGAAGCTTTCTTCTTGTTATTACAGTGCAAAGACATTCCTATTGTATTACTGCCAATGCTGTTATGGTCAAGTCATGCAAAGATATTATAGTGTAAATGTAATTTTATTGAGCCATTGACGCTGTTGCTGTTGGCAAATCCTTGATCCGTTATCACAGTGTAACTCAAGTCTCACTGCATCATTGATGGCGTTACTGTATGTGGTTTATCTTACAGTTAGCACTGTAAAAATATTGCTTTCCAACATGGCTGATGCAATTTAAGTAGGTGATTAACAAACTGTTGTCAGTGTATGATGTTGTGTTATTGTCAGCATATTGTGTGTAAAATACCATAATATTATCACAGAATCAGTGAAGAATTATTGTGCCATTCACTTTGTGAATTAGTTATGTTACTAAAAATGATTAAAAATAGCGAGGTTGAAGTACTGAAGAATTCCTTGCTGAATTTGATATATCAATTTTCTGAACAGGCATTATTAGGCGTAGGTATGGCTTCAGATATGAATGTCAATAAGCTCTTGTCATTTGACTATGAAATTGTAACTGTCCATACATTACAGAGCACGCTACCTTTTTTTCTCAGTCTCTAAGATGCTCTGTTCGAATCTAATTCTCCACTTTCACATGATCCGCTGCTAATGGTGTTGGACTGACAACTGTTGACAGTCAGATTTTCCTCTGCTACCAGTATCTAACAATGTGGTATAATCTTTCCACCTTCAGCACTTTTTCCAAGTTGAGTGAGAAACCATAACTGGTAGCATCTCTGAAATGGATGGTGTAATACTTTTATTTCAAATATCACCTATAGGATGAAGTTAATCAAATGTTACATGGATTGCAGACCAGCACTGATGAAGTTACTTCATTTCTGAATTCAGTAGAACAGTCTTTCTCTGAATCAGAACTCTTCATCTGCTACTTCTAATGGTTCGAGGGAAGATCCATTTCACTGTACACTTAAGAGCTCTGAATTATCAGTGGCCCTGACCAGCATCTAACTTATGTTATCCCTGCTGTGTTGACTGAAATTTTGGTTGCGTGTTCATGTTTGTCTATTTAAGGATTATTCTAATCAAGTTGACTTACAAGTTCCACAACAATGATTGGTTGTACAGTAACACATTGGAATGAATCATATTGATTCACAGTGAGATATAATATTGGTTAATTTTAGTTTCCCAGTATATTATTATGCACCTTCACATATTCTATAATTCTTTGTCGATTCAACTTTCCTTGCTTATTCAATTCTACTGCATTGCCTTGTGGTGTTTTTGAAACCATAGTGTTTTTGTTTAGATCTCATTGGAGATCTCTCCATCTCTCTGTCTTTATTCCACATAATTTCACTCTCTCTCTCTCTCTGTCTCTCTCTCCCTCCCTCCCACCCCCACCTTCCTTTTGTTACAGCTAACCTGGTTGTGATTGTGATCCTGTCTCAAAGAACATGTGGTCTCTCTGGGTGTATCACTTATTACCTCATCTCAATGGCAGTGACAGATCTCCTGGTCATAGTTACTGCTGTCCTATTGAACCGGATTGCTGGGATTTATTTTCCGTTAAGTTTCCTTTCCATCACCCCATTGTGCAGTTTACGTTCTGCCCTAATTTATGCATCTATAGACAGTTCTGTCTGGTTAACAGTCACTTTTACCTTTGACCGATTTGTCGCCATTTCATGTCTAAAGCTGAAAATAAGATATTGCACTAAGATGATGGCAGCACAGGTTATAGGAATCGTATCTGCCTTGAGTTGTGTAAAAAATGCCTTCTTATATTTCGTATATGAACCTGTGTACATAATTAACAATATACCGTGGTTCTGTAGTGCAAAATTAATATTTTACACATCACCTGCATGGGCTGCATATGACTGGATGCGATCCATTGTAACCCCTAGTCTCCCATTCATTTTGATTATATTGCTCAATGCTCTGACTGTCAGACATGTTCTAGCAGCCAATAGAGCTCGCAGGAGAGTTCGGGGTCAGAACAATGGAGAGCACCAGAGTGATCTGGAGGTGGAGAAGCGGAGAAAGTCCATTGTTTTACTTTTTGCCATCTCCTGCAATTTCATCCTACTCTATTTACTATTCATGGTAACAATCCTCTATGTTCGAATTGCTGATGTTACTTATTTCTCAGGTTCTGATTCCAGTGAATCAACATTCGTTCTTGAGGAATATGGGTTTATGCTTCAGCTTCTGAGTTCCTGCATCAACCCATTTATTTATGCAGGAGTACAAGCTAAATTCAGAGCAGAATTAATAAATGGCGTGAAATATCCATGGAGGTTATTGCATAAGTCACTAAAATTGTGACAAGAGATTCACAGACTCACAGACTGTTACAGCACAGAAACAAACACTTCAGTCCAACTTGTCCAGGCTGATGAAGCTTCCCAAACTAAACCAGTCCCATTTGCATTTGGCCTATGTCCCTATAAACCTTTCCTATTCATGTACCTGTCCAAGTGTCTTCTAAATGTTTTAACTGAACCTGCATCTACCACTTCTTCTGGCAGCTTATTTCACACACAAAACCACTCTCTGTGTGATAAAGCTCTCCCTCAGGTCCCTGTTGAATCTTTCTCCTCTCACATTAAAAATATGCCCTCCAGTTTTGAACTCTCCTAACCCAGGGAAAAGACTTTTGCTATTCACCTTACCTATGCCCTTCATGATTTTATAAACATCTAAAAGGTCATCTCTCAACTTCCTGTGCTCCAGTGAAAAATGTCCACACTATTTCCATGGAGACACTGCTGTATCATTCTCATATTTGGCTTCTGCTTCCACATGCATATAAAGGCCAATTAAAATTTAACTTCAAGCTTCAAGAAAGATAAATAGACATATTGATAATGCAATACTTTTTTTCAGACATTCAAGAAACTAACAACTTACTTTAAAGCTAGGCAACATCATTTGAAACTAAGAAGCCAAGCGCTGATGGGAGAAAAATCAAGTTATTTATCAACACATTAGGAAAATTCTGCATCAGTAGTTTGTGACATCCCAACATTTCCTCTCCATGTCCAGATTGCACATAGCACCTCTTCCAAGAAATTCCTTTTCTAAGTTTGATCAGTGAATGATCTCAATGCTTTTATTTTCAGCTCTCTTGGCCATATGGTCACACATGCATTCTTATGAGCATTCATGGCACTGATGATCACTGTAAAGTGATATCAAATAATCATCCAAATGTTATTCTACAAAATGACACCATTCAGCCCATTGTGCCAGCACTGATGCTGCAAGTGGACGTTATGATTTAGTGCCATTTTCCTACCATTTCCCTTTAAACCCGCCATTACTGCATTTAAATAATCATGCAACGCCCAACTCGTTGCCTTGATTGATCTTACCTTGTCCACGATTCCAGAAAGTGCATTCCAGAATTAACCACTAGCTGCATTATAAAGTATATTTTCTTCGACAGCATTTGTTTCATTTGCAAGTTCCCTTTAATCTTTGTCCTCCCATTAACTATCTTTGCATAAGTGGGAACAGTTTATCCCTATCTTTCAGCCTGAATCTCACATGATTTTCAAATCACCTATTTGCTCTCTTTACAGCCTTGTCCTCTCCCCAAGGGAAATTGTCTCAATTTCTCCAATCTCACTTTTTAACTGAAACTCTTCACTCCTGGAAACATTTTTGTAGATCTCTGCAGAATTCTCTCCAATGCATTCCCACTTTCCCTTGAATGTCCACAACTGTACAAAATACTTCAGCTGACATCTAACTAATGTCTTGATAAAATGCAGCATTATCTCCTTTCTCTTGTAGTCTGTGACTGAGTTAATAACAACTCCTAGGCTACTGTATGTTCTATTAATAAAATATGAACAACAAGCCATTTCTCATTCCATTGAATCCATGAAGAAAACATTTAAAAATATCTTCCGCAAGACAATTGTGTGGTTCTACTTTCTTGCTACTTTCTGTTCCCATTTCTCAGTCATTCCACAGAAAGTAATAATAAAACAAAAGGGGCAATGTAAATCCTTGTCTGTTTACATTATTGCAATTGAATTTTCATTCTGTAGAGACCGGGGTCAGAGTGAGATGGAAATAGGAGGTATTGGGGGGAATTGGTGTTGCTGATAATGAATGTCGAATTGACAACGTGGCATCTGCTGGCTGCTGTTTGGAATTGGACGGTCGTTAGATCAATTGTGTGGTGAACGCCAGTTGTCATTTCTCTCTTCAGTGGAAGAAATTGGAGCTGGAAATGAGTATTCCATGAATTCACCAATATGTGTTTCTTAATTAACAGCAGATTGTGAAAAATACATTCTCACTATTTATTTCATTGCAATTTTAGAAATTTGACATATTCAAATTGACAACTATTGCCTCACCCACCTTCAACGCATCACCCATTCCGCTAGGAACACAGCCAAAAAATACAGTAACTTGTCTCAAAGGGACCTTTAAAATGTGCGCTATTAAAATTTCCATTGAAAAAAGGGTAAAGGTGAATACCTGAAAATGCAATTCCATAATTTTCTCATCGAGATCTTCCCGATAATAGACTTTCTCTCAATTTTGTTATAAGATCTGAAATATGCTGTACCCTTATCCTGCATCTAATTGCTTTAAAATATTTACAACTTTAACTTTTTTAATCTTGATTGTCAGGCCTACATTTGAAAATACTTGAATTGGATGAGCCTGCCAAAGAAGTTACCATGTAGGACCTGAATTGGCATCATCAGCGCAGTTGTTCTGAAATGATTATATCAACACTGAATGTAGCTCCTACTGAACAGAACATATAAGAAAATGCTGACAACACAAAGAAGACCAGAAAACATCTGTAGAGAGAGAATGACAGTTAACTTTTCAATGCTTCTTGCTGCTCCTGGAATGATAACTGTCCTCAATCAGTCTTACCCTTCTGAATTAATGGTGGGGACATTTATTGTGGAGACATGAGAAAAGTTTAATCCCACCCGCTGCAGACACATAGAGTCATAGAGTCATACAACGTGGAAACAGGCCCTTTGGTCCATTTCATCTGCGCTGACGAGACATCCCAATCTGACATTGCCTCATTTGCCAGCATTTGGCCCATGTCCCTCTAAACCCTTCCTATTCGTATAGCCATCCAATTGCTTTTTAAATGCAGTAATTATACCCACCTCCACCACTTGGTCTACCAGCTAGTTCCATACACGCACCAACCTCTGTGTGAAAAAGTTACCCTTCAGGTCTTTTTTTTAAACCTTTTACCTTAAACCTATGTCCTCTAGTTTTGGACTCCGCAACCCTGGGAAAAAGACCTTGGCTAATCACCCTACCCATGCCCCTCATGATTTTGTAAACCTCTATAAGGTCACCTCTCAGCCTCCGATGCTCCAGCGGAAAAATGCCCCAGCCTATTCAGCCTCTCCCTATAATCCATATTTCCTGGTATCAGCTCCATCCTTCAACCAGGGCAGTCACCCCTTGAACTCAACTATTCTGACTGTCTGGAAGGTGGAGGTTCAAATTCCCAATTTATAGGAAGGAGAATTGTGAAATGTATCACATCAGAGTCAATCGTCCAGCATCTTAAAGAAGCAAAAACTGGTTGGGGTCCATGGGATAGTTTTCTTCCATTTCTGGATCCAGAGTTTTGAAAGTTTCACAAAGTAGGAGACTGGGATTTCTGTTTTGTTTCCTTCCAAATTCTCATATGATGACTGACAATATTTTTAAAATTCTCATCACATTTCTAAGTCTGGCATGATGTCCAGGGAAGAGGATTTGTGGAAAAATTCTAGAGATTGGGATTGTTCTCTTTAGAGAGAAAATAAATTAACGAGAGACTTCATGGGTTTGTTTATAAGGATTGAGGAGTTTTAGGTGGTCGGGGGGATTGGGGCATGGTGGGGGACAGTGTTCAGTGAGTGTGGAACAGAAGGTAGACAGAGCAAACTGTCTCCACCGATGAGAGTCAAGAATTGGAGAACTGGAACTGAAGATCATTTAAGGAAAGATAATCTGGTATCTCTATTTGAATTTATTTGCTTATAACCATTGTATAATTTGTTACAAATAACCTTAAACTGGAACAGGGTGCAGTGAGGTGGGGGTGGGGGCAGGACGAATAAGATTTTATTATAACACTTATATCTATTTGAGTCTCAACACATTGTCTCACTTCTCAGTCTTCCAGCTATAAAGCAAGTCCCACCAAATCAGGAGATTATGCATCTTTTAATGACCATATACATGGGTAAAAACTTTCCTAATCTCCAGAGTTTCATATCAGTGGTAAATGTCAAGGAAGTATCTTGCTGAACTTTTTAAGCTTCCTGTGGTCAAAGCAGCTGAGCACAAGGGGAGAAGGTGGATTTTTTTTCTCTCTCTGGAATGAGTTGAAAGAAGATGGAAGACTGTGAAAACAGGTAACAATTCCAAAAGGATTCAGCACAGAAAGCGGTAAATCAGCCTGAAGTGCTAGTTTGAAAGATAAGTTTTTGTTTAAATTCATTAACAGGAGGAGGGTGTCGCTGGCGAGCCAGCATTAATTATCCATCCCTAATTGCCCAAAGGTTAGTTCAGAGCAACTACATTGGTCTGGAGTCACATGTAGGTCAGACCAGAAAAGGATACCTGTTTCCTTCCCTAAGGACATTAGTGAGCCAGATGGGTTTTTCCCCTGATAATTGATTTGTGGTCATCATTAGATTGTTAATTCCAGATATTTTATTGAATTCAAATTCCACCATCTGTCACAGCAGGATTTGAACCTGGGATCCAAGAATGTTATCAGGGTCTCTGGATTAACAGTCCAGCAAGGATACCACTAGGCCATTGCCTCCCCACTTGTGAGCAATTGATCAGGAATGATACTTGTCCTTGTCTAAACACTAGGCAATCAACTCTGTCCATATTTTAGAGAATAATTCCTGCAGTTCAACTCAGAAATAGTGAAAAACCTAATCATCAGCATTTCCTCGGATGGTGATGGCTAGCACGAGGGGACATAGCTTTAAATTGAGGGGTGATAGATATAGGACAGATGTCAGAGGTAGGTTCTTTACTCAGAGAGTAGTAAGTGCGTGGAATGCCCCGCCTGCGAAAGTAGTAGACTAGCCAACTTTAAGGGCATTTAAATGGTCATTGGATAAACATATGGATGATAATGGAATAGTTTAGGTTAGATGGGCTTCAGATTGGTTTCACAGGTCGGCGCAACATCGAGGGCTGAAGGGCCTGTACTGCACTGTAATGTTCTATGTTCTATGTTCTATGAACCTGCGCAGAGCAACCCAAACAGATTTCTAACTCATTGCTTCAACAACTGGAACCTGACAACAGGC